CCTTCGCGACATGGAGCGCCAGTTTGCCATTGCATACAGATACACCGAGCCCGATTCCAACAATACATGCTTGTACGCTCGTTTTTCAAGATGGCTCCTTGCAAAAGATCTCCCCGTTTTGACCACACTCTGACCATCTGCCCACCCGTGACGGACAGAGCACACGGTCTAACTCGGACAACACCCGAAGTTTAGGCCCTGGGCGACGGAGCATGACTTCAGAGTGAAGTGACAACAGACTCACGGCAACGAATTTGAATCATATTAGAGCGGCCAATTCGACGGACCCTTACCTTCTTGTGCTAATTAATCTTCCAAGCCACGAAGACCTGGGCCTGCTGCTCCTGGTACGAGCTGCCGGCCGCAGGTACACAGCCGATCCTTTGTTCTGTCCCTCTTCATACGTTTTTGCCGGAACCCCAGACTGCGCTCCTTCTTTGTCACGAGGTCATCCGAATCCAACGATCCGGCGCGAGCCGGAGCCATGCTAGGTATGACGAAGGAGGAGGAAGGGGGGCGGAGGGCGGAGCGCCATCCGTCGTTCTCTCGGGTGCCCAAGTGTCAGCATCGACGGCCAGGGCCCGCAGTAACCGTCATGGCTCAGAGGTATTTCCCACCACCGGTGGGCAAACAAAGTGGCCATTGGTTTGGAGAGGCGAGGGACCGCGATAGTGTATCATGCATGCTGTGAGAGAGATTTCGGCCGAACGACACTCATCAGCAGTAAACGGGCTGAGAATCCTGGCCTTTGCCGACTCGAACCGACAGGTTTTGCTATTTTCGCATAACGATAGAAGACACGCAGTCGCGGACTTGCATCACCACGTCTTGTTTGTTTCTGCCTTCTTTCCTCTTTCTTCTTCTTGCCACTTTCTCTTTGTCTCACCGTACCTCTCTGTTCAACCATGTCGTGCTCCCCTTTATCTCTCCTATCTATGCAATCATCTTCGGTGGTCTTGTATGGTTTTGCCAGTGCCTCTTTCGGCTGCCTGGCTGGACTTTTTTTTTTTTTTTTTTTTTTTTTTTTTTTTTGAGATGTTGCGAATGGCAAGGGAAAGCTGCAGAGGACTATTTTTGCGAATTTGGCATAGCAGCATACCTACCACAGAGGAGACAGGTTAAGACAGAAAAGCTGCCCATATCAGGAGCCGCCGATGATCGATTGCGCACTTATCCCAAGACTCGCCTCGTTGTTTGCCATTGCACGGCTTTGGAAGAGTTATTTTTTTCTTTCTTTTTTTGCTTTGCATGGGCATTGGCGATCTGGGGTGACATGGGACATAACGCGCTGAACTGTGTGTTTGGGGCAGAGCACCCATCCCTTGGGACTCTACAGCCGGGCTCAATCAGGAACCAAGAAATTTTCTTCTCGGGCCGTTTTGTTTGCCTCCCGCGTCGTAACGTGCCGTCGTACGTCTGGAGAAAGGTGATTATTTCGGCCTCGGTCGGAAAAGATACTGAAACAGATACAGGTGAAGCGAGCAAAGAGCCCAGGGCAGAACAGAAGCCGAGTCTCGAAATCTTGGTCTGGTTGGCCAACGCCGAGGAGGGCCAGCTGGACTTGTTCAAGTCTAGATACCTAGCTGCACGCACTAGTGTCGAGTTAAGCCGGTGTTGTGTAGCTGACGTTACCTCGATGGGTTGGCTTGTTGTCGGCAGGCGAGAAGGGAGAGAGGGAAAAGGGCCTAATGCCCGGCCGTTTTCTTTCCACCCCGCCGGCGGTACCTTTCGTCTTGTCTTGCCTTGCACCTTGGTATCTTGACTTTTTGACTTTGGTAGGAGGGGTTGTGGTGGTGGTAGTAGTAGTAGTGGTGGCAGCTCAGCTTCTGCCCTCCAATTGTTGGGTTCCTGCGTCGTTTTTCCCTTTCCTCCTCCTCCTCTCTCTTTTTGTCTGTTACCATGTTAATTTCTGCAAATGGGCGGCATGGTGTGGGCTCTCCGAGGCGGTGGATGATGGCAGGGCATCGTATCCGTACATACACAGTACGGCGTAGGTGGTGCTTCAAAAAGTCGATCATTTTACCGACAATACCTCACAACTCGGTGCGGGCTCTCAGTACGTACCTGGTAACGGGGAACTAGAGGCAGGCAGCTCCCCAGCTGAAGGCGGCGCCGGTGTTGGAGCAAGACCACGGCCCCTAGGTAGACGAAGGGGACCTAAGGGGAAGGGAGGGGATACTCCCGCCCACGATAAAGTCACCCATTGGGCGGTGCGACATGATCCGTCCGCTGTGCCATTCCCGCTCGGGTCCACTTTGCGCCATCCACACTCTGAATGTGTGGTGGGAGCAGGGGGTGTGTGTACGGAAACTAGAACCTGGAGCACATACGCAGTACATACGGCGAGCAAGAGGCGGGTGAAAGGGGGGGAGCAAAGGGAGGGCGGAAGCAGAGCGATGATGAGAGAGAGAAAGAGAGACAGAGAGCGAGAGCCATGGGGGGAGGGGTGTGTGTGTGTGCGGTAGGAGTGAGTGACAGCAGATTCCCATCCCATTCCCATCTGGTGCAGCTTGCAGGTGTAGGTAGTGTAGAATGGCGCAAGTGCTGTCGGGTTAGCAAAATAGGAGCAGCAGCGACAAGGTAAGAAATGGAAAGGCATCAGGAGAAGGAGGAGCAAGAAGAGAATGTCGTGTTGGTCGTGGATTTGGCCTTGATCTTTTCGTCGATTGCATCTCACAGGTACCAATAGCAAAGGCATAGTGACCATCTGTCGCGCGTCGACGATTTTGTCGCAGACGCTCACACTCTTTGATATATACCTTACCTTTTTGCTGGCCAAGAGATCCTCTTCGCGGCCGTCTTCATCCTCCCCATGTTCAGGACCGCTACACCCGGGTACGGATACTGTCGTCATCGCCACCATCAGCGGAAGTTCTTGAGACTTCATCAACCTTACCTTACTGCACCCCAAACCGCGTTACCAACCCTTCCATCCAGATCCCATCATCCAACCACCTATCTGCACCCGCACCGCACACTGCCGTCTTCCAAGGTACCCGAGGTTTGGCACCCTGTTTGCCTCGTACCTGAACCTGGGCCCGGACCCGGACCCGGGCCTACATCTTCTACACCCTGCGTGTTCTGAGCCCTGCCCGGGCAGCGTGCCTTTTGTCTGAGGGTGGTTGCTTCAGGATGATTCCTCTCTCTCTCCTCTCCAGCCATCGCCGTTACTCAGCCGTACTACTCCCTTCCAATATCTCATCCCATCTTCTACAGTGCGCTGCCTAACTCCAGTAGAGGCAAACTCCCCGGGTTAAGTGGCCAAGGTTGCATCCAGGAGTATTATCAAGGAACGACTGCCATTTTACCTTCATCTCGCATACAACCGCGCGTATTTATTGCACACCGCACTCTGGACCAAGACATGAGAACAGGACAAAACAGGAGCACTGCAACTCAATCTCGAATAGACAACAAGCGACCGGCAACAAGGCTGCAGCTTTGATGTAGCTCCCTCGCCGTCGGTACCTCAAGGTCTTCGTGTCACATGGTCTCCGAATACCCTACTCACCATCCAAGGTTCCCAAGAGACCCATTCTGGTCCGCAACATCAGTCAAGAAAGAAATCGAGTCGAGTGCCTACAGTTGTCCTTTGGCTATCGCCAGCCTCACTACCAAACAACACCTTGAAGGGCCAAGAGAGTGAAGGCACACCAAAAAAAGACCGAAAAAAACAAAGAAAAAAAATTACGTCGCCCCCCTACACCAGGTTTTGGCCATCTGAGCGACGTTACTCGGATTCGACGCGCATGCCGTCCGGTTCCTTGCGCAGCGGCAACGGGACTGTCGAGGACGTTACGGTGCGGCACGCTTCCTTGCCTTACACTGCCTCTGCCTCACCACACTTCAGCATCCGCCAGGTCGTCTGGCGTATCCGGCGTGTAGGCATGTGAAGTGCGTAGGTGCGGCGTCTTTTCGTACCTCGCTATAGCGTCTGGCGTAGTGTACGCAGCATTATCTTAATGGTATGTAAGTGGTTGTGAGATGTGAGATGTGTGTGTGAGTGAGTATGTGGGAGGAAGCGCAAAAGCAAATAAGAGTAAGCATAGGGTCAGAATGAGTGAGTGAGTAAGTGAGGTGAGCGAGGTGAGAGAAAGAGAGACAGTGTGAGTTTGCAGGTTGTGCGAGTGCCCGCATATCTGCCCTGCCGCTGTGTGTGTGTGTGTGTGTGTGTGTGTGTCTCTCTCTCTCTCTCTCTCTGCTTCCGTTGCTACTGTTGTGGCTCTGCTGTTGGGTGCCCTTCCGCCATCCTGTTCCCATGCTCTCTTCATCAATCCATCAGGTATTGTTCCTCCACCACACACACACACACACCCCTGGGCCGGGGGAGGGGTGGAAGAAGGGGGAAGGGGAAGGTGAGCCACACCCATCTCACACCCAAATTGTGGAAAGATACGTACCTGTGAGAGGAGACTCGAGGCTGGCACCCCATGTACACGATACATGCAGTACGTACCTGCCTTACCTCTTGGTTCCCATCCCAGGGCAGTGTCCCAGTGTCCACACTTCAGCGCACGCCTTTTTTCCCTGGCTTGACTCTTGAGACCTTTGGGACCTTGGGACCTTGGGTGGGATCCATGAGATCCTTGGGACATGGACATGGGTACCTGTACCGCGTCTTCCCTGGCACTTTCGTCCCAGAAAGTGGATGAGAGGGTACCATGCTGCGGTACCTCCCCTTCCCTTTCCCTTTTCCCTCCCTTCCCTTCCCCTTCCCTTCCCCTACCCTTACCCCCCGTACCGACCGCACCGCACCGCTCCATGCCCATCCATCCAAGTCCCAAGGTCCCAAGTTCCCAGAGTACGGATGCTGGTCCCATGGTCCAAGGTCCAAGGTGGTCTACTGTCTTCCCTACGCAGCAAGGTAGCTAGGTACGGAGTACGGTACGGTACGGTAGAGGCGGTACGGGGTACTCGTCAAAGGTACGGATACTTCTACCTCACGCAGTAGCGCCTCTTTCTTCTCTTGGTTTCTTACATCTTTGGCACAATCCCTCTCCTGCCACTCCACCGCCAACCTGGGCCTTACCTACCCTTTTTACATTACTTTACCCGCCTTGCGCCTGCTCTGCCTCGCCTGCCTTACCTCACCTTTCTCTCTTACCTCTCTTTCCCTTTACAAACCTTCCAACCTCACCTCGAGCTGTCTGCGCCTGTCGCTCCTTGTCTTTCTGACTTGGCTCTCTCTGCCTTTTCAACCTGCCGACCGACCGCGCAAACAATCCTCATCCATCCTTCTATCCCATCGGAACAGCATCGCAAAAACCCCTCCTCTCGCTTTTAGGTTCCCTACCGTCGCAAGGAAGGAGAAACTGAACAGGGACAGGAAGAAAGAAGCCATTAGAAAAGAGGAAGAAGAAGAAGAGGGAAAACAGGGACCGCAACATCGTCCTCGTCACCATCGACACCTTCATCCTAAGAAGCTTCACCGTCTGCACAATCAACTGATTGCTGCCGTTGCTGCTGCTGCTGCTGCTGCTGCAACCGTTGTCTCTCACCGGCAAAACACAAGTCGCCGACACACCGGGATTGTCTCCTACTTAGTAGTACCTGACTTACTCGGTTTGATGATCCCAACCTGACCTCACTTTCATTCCTCGACAACAGCGACACTACTCAAAGACGCATTCACTCACGTTTACTCGGCTATCATCATTGTGAGAGTCGGATCATTGCCAAATCCGCCGCCACTTTTAAAATTAATCATTCCAGCCACGCGGTCCAACATCCGTACCGCTCCGTTGTCGAATCTAACCGTACTTACCTTTTGCGCACCGAGCTGCCGCTGCTTACTCTTGCGCCCGCGCTCTCCGACGGCTTATACGGCACCCGCTATCTGTACTCAACTCCAAAAATCCCCCCACCACCGCCACCATTCTGTGTGCGCGTGCGCTTCTCGAGTCAACCGACTTGGCTGGCCGCGCCCTCTTCTATCCGCCACAGCCCGCTTGGTCATGATTCTTGCCCTTCCCGTGCTTGGTCGGAATTATTCGGTAGCAGGGTTCAGCAGATAGGCCAACCTCACGCGCAGGCCATTATCGCATTTCGCCCAAAGGGCCCCTTTCAACCACACCACCAACTACAAACACCACTCCACGACACCCACTGCTCGCCAACACGATAGCATCGCGCGGCGACGAGAGTGCAGGTTCAGTCGCGGCATCCGGGTGGAATCGCCGCAACCAGAGCATGGCAGAGGAGCAAGGACGAGGGCCGCCTTCTACACACCGAGAAGACGAAGGTCGACACCAACTTCCCCCCGTGGGAGCACCCGAAGACCCAAGATACCACGACGACAGACATCATAGACCCAACATGGCTGCACCAGTAACACTTCCCTCCATTCAGGATCCCCACGGCGCCTACGGCCAACCAGCCTACCCGAGGTCTTACCCTGGCGATCCACGGGGTGACCCGCGCGCCGATCCGCGCGCCAGCAACTACAGCGCCTCCCCGAATTCCGTTAACGGCTACCCGCCGCCGCAACCGGGTGGTCATGCGCCGCAACTGCCGCCGTTGCAACCCCCGGGTGACCCCAGGTCTCCCACTTATCCTCCTCCGCCAGATGGAAGGGACGACTACTACAGAAATCGCCAGCCTCCGCCGCAGTATGGCGACCCCTACTATCAGGAGTATCACAACCGCCAAGGTCCGCCTCCTCCGGGTCGCTACGCCGACTACCCTCCACCTGGCCCTGGTGGTCCACGATACGACTACCCACCAGGCGCACCGAGATACGACTACGGTCCAGGAGGCCCTCCCATGCAGCAAGCTGCCCCAAGACAACGAACCTCTATAGCTTGCAGGTACTGCAGAAAGAGAAAGGTACTTCTCCCCCAAAGCGATGCGACAAAGGAACTCTTTGAGACTAACTTGGAATGCTTCAGATCCGGTGCAGCGGCTATCAGAGTGCGCCTGGCGGCAAATGCGTAAACTGCAGCAGGATGAACCAGGAGTGCATATTCCAGCCCGTATCTTCGTCTAGCTCGACTGCATTTGTGCCCGTATCGGCCATCCAGGGAGGTGTTCCACCGGGAACGCCGCTCTATGGGGCTTACGGGCAACCTCTACCTCCGGGTTCGCTGCCTCCGCCAGGCCCCCAGGGTTACCCCCCTCAGCCTGGCAACGGCGGTTACTACCAACAACCACTCCCTTCTCCAACGGGCGGCTACTCGCCCTACGATGCGCAGCGTGGAAGGCGGCGGCCGAGGGATGATGAAGTTGACGAGCTCCGACCTCCGCCACCCGATCCGAACTCTGCAGACGATCCTCGACGTCGCTCGCCAGCCTCGAGCTCGAATCACAGCAGCCCGGGAGGCTACATGGGCTACTCGCAGGGCGGTCATCCCGGATATGACCCAAGAGCGCCTCCGGCTAGACATAGTCCTGGACAGCCGGCGGCAGTACCTCACCCGCAGACGGGAGACGAGCGAGCCGCGGCAGCGACCCAGCGACAAAGCAATTCCTCCACACCAGCAGCATCCTCGAGCTCGGTTATGAGCCTGAATAACTTGGTGGACACGACTCCAAATGACATTGACAGGAACATGCTGGGAAGGCTGAACCGTCCTCCAGTGAGAAAGTGAGAAGATGAGGCGCATGGAGGGGAAGAGAGCGTGACCTTTGTCTTCAGGGTTACCTAATTATTCCGCGGATATCGACCGCCTCAGTCCGACGCAAATAGGAATGGATCTGCTGGCCAGGTACTCTCTTCGCTTTGGAAAATCTCTCGATACGACAACCTCAGAGACTTGGCTTTCACCTCGATTATTGCGAGCGATGCCAGCGAAAGCGGCGACGACGGCAAGAGTTTTATGCGATTTAACTCAGGTTGCATACATTACAAAGTTCATGGAAACGCATATCGGTCTTTGACAGGCATAGGCAGGGAGGCATGAGCTTCTGTAGCAAGCGAGTTTCCATGATGGAGGGGGGGGAGTTGGCGGGAACGGCTTCCAGGATCAACCAAAAAAAATTCACGGTCAGCATCGTCTTGATTTTCGATTTTTTGGTGTTTGCTGGGGGCTGGCTGAGGTTGGGAAATGGTGGGAGGTTTTTTGCTTGAGCATACCACGTACGCGGGTTACCCGAGATCCGGGAAACTGGTCCTTGCATTCTTATTTGCTTTGTTCTACACCTTTTCTTTTCGTACACAGTCATTTCCCAAAGGAACGGAAAGGGTTAAGATTGGTCTGCCTCACGGCACACGTCTGTTTTTGATTTTCTGTCCTGCCTTTTTACTCATTTTTAGTACCCATTGTCCGACACGCCACACATGCTGGAGTGTTGCATTTTTCATGTCAAAACCGCTGCGTACCTTTTTTTATTATTATCTTATCTTTACTAGTACCCCAAACGTTGAGAGAGTATTACGAAGGCGAAATCGCGCAAGCGATGCAAAGGAACTGGGCGGCAAAGATATCACACAACCTCATCACTTTTATCTACATCCCACATGAGTTGGGTGCGTTTTATTGTTTTCCCTCCCACCCCCTGTCATGTCATGTTGTGTCTTTTTCGTTCTGCAGAAGTCAGAAGTTGGCAGCACCGCGAGGGCTACAAAAAATACCGAGGTTGTTTTTTTCTACTACTACTTCATTCCAACGAATCTCTCTACTCATGATTGTCATGTCCTTCATCTCTCACATAGCAACACACACCCACACACCCCGACAAGGTGTGGTGTGCGGTTTGGAAAGAAAGTAATGAAACCTAAAACACATTTTAAAAAAAGCCAAGCGTAGCATTGTCACTATTGTCACTATTGTCTATGGCCATTTTCCTGTTTCTTGCTTGTACTAGGTCTTACAAGCCAAGAAACAACAAAGCGAGAAAAAAAGACGTTTTGTGCCAAAGCTTCAACGTTTGTTTGCTGAAGATCTTTTTGACTGTTTGCTGTCGTTACTCGCCCTGTTCTCCAAGTCCGTAATCCCGAGGGAACAACAAAAAAAATTAATGTGTGTCCCACACCCTCCCATATATATGTGACACGTCATATTGATCCGACGGTTGAAAAGGGCTAAAGGTAAGGGAAAGAGGCAGAGAAGCGACTAACGAGAGGAGGGAGAGAAAAGCACGGACAGATCTTCCGCTTTAGCAGGACATGATAGGGAAGGCCGAGACCAGTAGTTTCCCCCCGTCCTTTAATATCAGATTAAAGCTTCTTCTGATATCGATAAACGTGCGTTCGCGCGCCGGGTGGAGGGGAAGGGAGGGGGGGGGGGGAAGCTTTGTTTTTTCAGCACTGATGTTTTTTTGTTAATGATTGGTGACGGGGACCTACTACCGACTGTGTAAGGCAGGGAGGGGAAGAGAAGGGTAAGGGGAAAAGGGAAGGAAGATGAGGAGCCACCACCGCTTGTTGCCGCGGCCGCCGCTGCCGCCGCCGAAGTCTGTCTTTGCAGTAATTATGGTACGGAGTACTTTTCCCCCTCTTCCACTTCTCACTTCCACCTCCAATGACCCCTCACTTAGACTCATACGTATGGGGGAAAAAAAAGAAAAGAAGGAAAGAAAGGAAAGACAAAAGGAAAAAGGAAAATATGTTGGTTTGCTGTACGCATTCAATGAACAAAACAGTTTTGGGGGGGCCGGACCGCCGGTGCTGTCAAACCCGGGGGACCTAGCATGCCTTTGACTGCGTCCTTTTGTTACAAAGCCTCATTCTATCGTCTTTCCCCCAGAACTCAGGCACACGGGGAATAGCGGCATCAAGCATTGGGAGGGGGGGGGGGGGGCAATGGAAGGCAACCGTTTCGGCCGCCCGTCCGCGGCGTGTTCCTTAGGTTCCTTTTTTTTTTTTTTTAATTGCGGGAAGGGATAGAACCAAAGGCAAGTGCTCAATGGTCAAAGGTAGGTTTCCACTCCGTGGGACGCGGCCGGCCGGCGGCAATGGCACGGCACGTAACGAACGGGTTTTATGGTGGTTGGGTTCTGGTCCTAAAGTGTAAAAGTGAACTGGCGGCGACGCTATTGGGGACTTTTCGGGTTCCGGAAAGGCATTTGCCAGAGTAAGTAAAGTGGTAGAACTGCCGGTGTGTGTGAGGTGTGAGATTATTCATTCCTCTTAGTTTTGAGGTTCTGAGTAAGGTAGCTTGGTCCATGGTTTTCCCAGGCTTTCTTTCTTGTCTATTTTCTTTATTTGTGTTGTGGCTCTATTTTTTCCTCATCAGCTATTTTTATGAGCAATACTGTTTCCAAGAGTTCTGGTCGTGAGTTTTGAGTATGGCAGCTTGGTATCATCCCTTTACGCTCAAGCGCCGGCAGAGATGGAGAGAACAGAGTCAACGTCACCGCGGACAAATGTCAAAAGATGTCTTAGTTGATACTAAAAAAGTCCAGAAATAACAAGCAAACTAAAGACACCTTCGCTTCTTGTTTTCCATGGTTTCTTCTTCTCGTTCTTTGTTCTTTACGTCTGCGCCTGGGCTGGTGTCTTTCGGTACTTGGAAAACCGAACCAACACAAAGGGGGATCCTAACCAACCAACCAACCTAAACTGCCCCCCTCGTGCCCCCCATCTGCGCCACCCTTCTCCCCTCGGGAACAAAGAAAGAAGAACAAAGGGGAACCTGTCAGGGAGAATCACGAGGGAAGAAAAACATTTTTTCCCAACAAGGATGGAACTTGAGGGGGAGGAAACGAGAGCTTCAATACAATAGCACAATAGAAGCAAAGGACCTTTTTTCCTTTTCCAGATCTGCAATGTTCAAATTTTACTCTGGGGGGGTCCACTAAACCTGAAAGACATGATTGTTCGTTCCCACATGGCGTCTCTATCGATATGTCTCCCGTGTCCGGTCACTGGTGTATGACTGGTTTGTATGGCGTGTGCGGTGTGCTGCGGTGCGGGAGGAGGCGAAGAGGGGAGGAGGGGAGGGGCAGCCAGCCAGCCAGCCAGCCAGCCCAGCCCAGAGGAGAGAAGCAGAAGAAGAACAGGCGCCGTTCGAGGCGAACCGGGTTCAAGCTAGGTACATTTCGGCGTCAGTGGACGAGGTGGACGAGTGGACGAGAGAGAAACTTCGAGTTCCTCTTTGACAGGCCCCCTCGTTGCCGCCAATCCATTTGTCGAGAGGGAAGAGCTTTCGGGGACCATTGGCGCTAGTCCCGGGTCTCCTCTCTTATGCTCTCTCTCTCTCCTCTCCTCTTCACCTCAGTTCTCTCTCCTCCTACTCGACGAGTCGCCTGCACTGTGTTTTTTTTTCCCGCGCGGCGGCGGGCCAAAACGAACGAGAGAAAGGGAGAAGGGGAAGGGATGAGCCCATGAGTGGTGTCCGGGCTTCGGTTGGCCCCTCTCCGCAATCAACGCTCATGGGGACCTTGGATTGGGTTGATCCCGGTTACACAAACCTGCGCGCGAGCGAGAGCCAAAGGGGGTGGTGTATACACGCCTGTCTTCCAGGCAGGGGAGGGGCAAGGAGAATGCCGTTCGCCAATATCGAGCACTGTGGTCCGAGGAACCGACCAGGTACACTCGAGTCACACACAATTACAATACACACGCCATCCTTGACATGGGCATCCAAACCACGAGCACCGAAAGAGAGCCAGAATTGGAAGATGACTCGACGAGGTTGAAGGAATATGGAAAATTCACCCGTGACGGCGAGACAAATCAAGCGCAAGCCGCGAGCGTGCATAACACACGTACACTCACGCGTCTACCTCGTTGCACCGTCGCCGAGAAGGAACGCCACATAGGGTAGGCAGGATTCGAACCGGTCAAGAGAGCAGACGGCCGCTTACGGCGGTACCCATGGACTAGGCGTTGTCTGGGGTTTGTATGGCAGCTAATTACTCACATGAAGTCTGTGCTTGATAGATGCAGGTCAGGCGAGGTCGGAGCGCAGCAATGAGATGTCAGACTCTAAGTGTCTTTGCGTCCGTTGGTAAGCGTGTAAGTGTGTGTCCGAGCCTTTGCAGCTTTAGCAGCCTCTTCTCAACGGCGAGCCCCAAGAGTACATGATGCCGATTCTTTGCAGCAACGCTAGGGATTTTGGGCCGTCGGGCTTGCGCGACATTGGGCGAAGGAGGAGGCGGAGAGAGTGCGCGGCGACCCAATGTACTAACGCAAGACAGGGAACATACCGCCATTGCTGAGGTCCCTGAATGCCTCGTAGCCCAGATAGGTGCCTTGGCTCAAGATCCAAGTTCCTTGCCGGGCGGCCAGTAGGCCGGTTGGCGGAGAAAGGAGTCGCCTGCCTGCCTTCTAACAGTAGGCACCGGCCGTTGATGGGGCCGAGGGGTAGACGGGGCACGGTGAACACGCCAGCTGAAGGGAGATAAGCCGCCGGCAAGAGAGATGAGGTGGGCTCGTCGGTGTCATGTCCCTCCTTGTTACATGGAATGCATACACTTTCTGGCCCCGCGACCCCTGCGGGACTATTGTACCTCGCACTCTGACGGGCTGTGAAAAGAGAACATCTCTTGTCCTGGGGGATATGGGGTCCGCAAACACATAGTTGGATCGACATAAAGACACTCCTGGTAGCTAAGCACATGGCCTTCGTTTGCGTGGAGAAGAGGGGATAGATGGAGGTAAAAGGGGGCTGAGAAGTACCGAGCAGACTATTGGCGCAGCGTTGCAAAAGTATACTTGTAAAGAGGGATGAGGACTCGATTCTCAGAGGCCTAGGCTCTGTACAAGCGTTCATGGCGTTGGACCTGTGATGGGATGAATGCTAATTTTCAGCAGCTCACACACGTTGTCCTAGGTAGATTTCAACGGAAGAGAAGGGAGTGGCTTGCCGAGCGCTGTCAAGACAAAGGGAAAAAAGCAGGCTAGAGAAGGCTTCGTAGTAGAGCGCCCGCCGGCCGACCACCAGGCTCCTGGGACACTCGGGAGGGGTGGCGGCGGTGACGATGGGCCAAGCGGCTGGCTAGCGAGGTTCAAAATGAGAAAGAGGCTAGAGTCGAGTTCGATCGAGACACCCTATCTGACGGTACGGAGCGAGCTGGAGGAGATGGCCTGATTTGGCGACGACCCAGCACTAGTATTCATAGATCATGGTATTCAGTGGCTCTGCTTGATCCGGAGAAAGGGGGGCTGATCTTGGCGATGTTAGGAGTGAAATATACGGTGTGCAATGTCCAAGACGACAGGGGAAGTAGAAAGAGAAGAGAAGAGCGGAGAAGGTATGGAAGTAGTGGGATGCAGAGGCATAGGGAGTGGGATATTGCGGTTGCGCACGCTGACATGGAGGAGGGGCAGGGAGGGGGAACCGAAAGAAAAGTGATGGATCTGATCATTTTTTCCCTGGCAAGTACCTATACCTCACTCGAGGCAGAAGATACCAAGCAACAGCCAGCGGTGACGGTCCGGGACCACTGAAGGAGGAAAAGAGGGGGAAATGTCCCTATTCACAAACAGAGACGATGGGCGGGTCAGGGGGCGTGGACGCTGCAAGTTCGTCTGGCCTGGAGATGCTCGGATAGACCTTTGGGTTACATCCTGACGTGCAGCAATCTTGCAGGGCGACTGTCCATCCGGAAGCATCAAGGTACGTCCGTTCAAGCCCTGTCTCGATCGCCGAGTTCGAAAAGGTCGAGATGTAGTATGCCCTGGCCGTAAACATAATGGGGTGTGATATAAACGGATGTCCTAGTCCATCATTCCCATTTCTCTGGTTTGGTTTGAGGGCTTGTGTGAGGCGGTTCGGAAAATGTCATATGGTCTCAGAGTCATGCGGCCATCAGCGCCTCCAGACATGGATGGGTTTTGCATATGCCGTTGACCGTATACAGACTGATATTCCGGGACAAGCCGGCCATCTGACATGCGTCGCGCTGATCCAGGGACTGTGCGGCTTCGTACAGTCAAACTGGGCTTCTGACCTGGAACACGGTGAGTGTGTCGCCTGTGGGAAACCTGGGGAGCCCGAGACAGAGATGAGAGTAAGAATGGGAGGAAGAGAAGATACGAATGCGAAGGTCAGACGGTGTACCAGAAAAGATGACGGCAGGACAGGAACGTGGGAAGGGGGCGTGAGGGGAGGGTGCTTTGGACACGGCGTGCTGACCGAAAACGGCGACGCTTCTGCGTACCTGACTTTGACCGATTTTCCAGCCCGTCCTTCCCGTGCTGCGAAGAGGTAAGATGCACAATGAGGCTTTCCCGAACCGGCTGAATGGCGTGTCGTTGTAGAAAGTACAAACGTTTGGGGCGCGCCGGGTCAAGAACGAAACAGGTGAACGGCCGTGGAGGAAGGCGGGAGAGCAAGGATTCCCGAGGAATGGGAAAGCTGGTAATAGTACAATAGCTCTAAGTTAGGAGCAGGTCAATGTGCTGGCTGAGAAAGGAATGTCAACTGCGCTGAGCTCGTCGCGCTGCTTCTTTCTATCAGTTTATGCGACGAGAATCAAACCTTGGTGCTCGACTCGTGACGAGTATTGTTTTCAAGCTTTTCTTCAATGTGCAGGCAGCCCATTGTACGCTCTCAATTTCACCTGTCCTTTTTCTGGTAGCAGAAAGGTCTTTATTCAATTATTACCAGTGTTGTTTTCGTCTTCTGGTATCGTCTGGAGTGGAGTGTTGTGTTGTTTCCAACTCGACCTATCCCTGACATCAACATGACGTTGGTATTCAAACGCGTCAAGACCCCTTTCCAAGGCGAGCTTCTGTCCTACACGAATCTTGGTCAGCGTAATCCGAACAAAAGCCTTCGAATGTTGGTGGGCACCGACATATTTCAATGGTCAGTCAAGCATTCCTCAAGTCTGGTACAAGAAAAGCCCGGCAAGAAGGTCCTGCTTCGTTCCTTGATCCCATCCCATCAGCTCCCGAGTCTCCAATCAAGTTCCAAATAAGCAACAGATTTATAGAGAGACAACTGACGGTGCTGACAGTTAAGACATGTCTGATGTTGCTACACGCGTGTCTCTGCATCTATCTGTATCGACCGGGAAGCATACCCGCACGTATATACGAACTGAATCACATCGACGCCTATCCAGCACCGACGGGACGTTTGTGCAGCTGCAAACAGGCGGAAAGAAGAGACAAGCAGCCACAATGTCTCTCCCTCCCCATCGATCTACCCCATCGCCGTTAGCCCTGGTCTGACCTCCTCCCTTGAATGCCTCTCGCCAGGTTGCCAGGGAACGTTTGCCGATCCCAATTGATCTCCAGTCATTGTTTGTCATTCCTATCGAAACGTCAAACTGTTTTTCACTGTTCGACAAAACCTCATTCTATCCTTCGACAAGAGCGAATCGAGAATATGACGAAAAGTAGACCCATACCTACTACCGAACTTCTGCGCCTACAGCATCCACGAGACCAAATATGAAGGTGGGCAGCTCTAGGAGGTTATCGGGGATCACAACTTCAGCGCGAACATTCCAGAGAGAGAGAGAGACCTGCTAATTACCATCAGGCTGTCAACCGTCTCAAGCCAGCTGAGGGAGCCGGAGCACCCTGCTGACTAGGTCAGCCATTCGAGTCTTGCGAAACCTTCCTGCCGTTCCGCGACCCGACCTGCCGGGCCCTAACAATCCGAGGAATGACGCTCGACCAATACTTGAAGAACCCTTGGGGAACTATCGAGTTGTCATGGTCACATACATTCCATGTCATCTGGCCAGTGTGTGGAGAAGCAGGAAGATTCGGGACGGCCCAGATCCGCGCTCAGCCAGCCAAAGCATTACCAGGCTCGCTAATCCAGTTACGGTCTTAACAGGTCTTCAGTCTTGATCTAAAAGTGCGGGAACTGCAGAGAACAAAAGGGGATACCTCCGAACCTAAAGGTAATCGGGTTGAGACTTTGCCGTGGAAGAGCCTCGAGATTCATTGTTCACCCCTCTGCATCCATCTTTTTTGCCGTACGTCTCAGGGTTAGGGTTGCTTATACTGACAGCGGAAACAGAGTTCTCGGCCAGCAAAGCCTTGCACGAAATCGCACGGTGGAGACTATGCAGGCATATTATCCGCGGGACCATTCGGGCTGGAATACACTCCAGAGGGCTAAGCGAGGGCGGCGCGGCTGGAACATGTCTTACAAGTCATTTTGGTGTGCCCCTGGCGGAAGCTAGTCTACCACTCGACCAGATTCCCGGGAATCATGTCTCGTTCCTCTACACGGACGGTCCGGTGGCGTGCGTACCTTCCACTCAAACACCCCCTCTGGATGTAAGACACAGAGACGATTTCAGCCAGCCACGGGAAACTTCCGGCCTTGGCTGATTTTGCAAAGGCACGCGATGTCTCGCCAAAATATGATTTCGGAAAGCGTAGCCATGTTTGACCATCAATCTGTCACGGGACCAGGTAGCTTCACACGGTGTGGAGCCATGGCCTCGCAAGTTGCAAGGCTTTCGAACGATTACTCTCTGATGACAATACTTTCAGTACAGGACCTCGATCGACGGATGACAGACATCCGAGAGAGAGAGAGAGAGGGAGAAACTGGGATTCGATCAAGCGAGTGCTTGCGTTTGCGCAGGGAACTCTTCCGCGGTTCTAATGCAGCCTTGGCGGACTGGAAAAAGCATCCACTTTGAGGATATTTGGTGGCTTCTTTACTGGACATGGTCAAACCACGACGTTCCTCTTGGTCTAGGCCAGGCAGATTCTGGAGAGCTGCGACCGATATATCTGAAGGAGACTTCTTGGCATGCTATGCCTAGACTATCAAGTGCGCTGTTTTCGTTCATGGTCAATTAGCCAACCTCTCGACATCCAAAGGCAAGTATGTCTTGCGGACGTTTGCTATCACGTTTCTACACGTTTCCACCCTCATTTACAACTGCAAGTAGCATCACTCAAACGAGGCCACGATAAATGACCTAGTGTCAGTAGCAATTCCTTCCCTTCTCTGCTAAACACTACGACGCGCAACTCGGCTGCTTAATCTCGGCCTCTTAGGAGCCATGATGCAAAGGAACGGGCTCAAGTGCCTATCCTCTGCGTAGGACTATTTGGGAGACGCCCGGTACCCAATCCGGGATGCTCTGGCACTCTATCCGTGGAACATGGCTTCAGATCCTTCGAGACATAAATGTGGTAATGTTTTCCTGGTTTCGGACTTTGGTACAAAAGCTTGAGAGCCACGAGATCTTAGATCAGCCCCAAGTTGACTTTATATGAATCATTTCGATCGAATAGAGGTATTACAGGCATATGAACGTCCGTACGAGCTCGTCCGCCCCTCGCCAGGGTAGCTGCATGCCTGGCAGCAAATTGCGTTTTACCCGCAACACATTTGGTCACATTACCACCATAGCAACCACCACAGCGTCAGGGGACGAAAATGAAATACACAGTACACATCTTCAAGACTGGTAGAATCTACTGGAATATTAAAATCTCCTTGTTCTTTTTTTCTGCCCACGTCTCCTCTCGCGCACCTCCACTTCTCGGTGTGAGCAAGGTGTGAAGCAAGGTGAGGTCGCGATCTTGCATCTCTCACCGAGGTGAAGAAAGAGAGGGTCTGTGCTTCGGTAAGAGATAGAGTTCACCTGACAGGCCCATTCGGTGTGATGCTACTGCGGAAATTGCGGGGGAAACGGAGCGGAACGGGGGAAGGCCGGGGTGGAGAGGACCTTCCCGACCCTCCCGCAAATTCCCCCCCTGGCGCACCCGAAAGGAGCGTGTAATGTCGGGTTTGCCCGTGCCTAGATTTGGCCAAGAGGCCCGGGGTGGGGATGAGCGAGCGAGCGTAATTGGAGATGTTCCCGACTCTTAGGTTTGATTCGAATTGTCTAATTGAGATTATGCACCACGAAATTGATGTGATCCCATATCCGTCGGTTCATGTTCGCCGGTCCTTATTTCCAGGGTATCTTGAACCATCTCTGTATCGCTTCGGGGACCCTTCGTCCAGCGTCCAGACCACGGTTCCATGGTCCAACCGATATCCTGACACCAGACCAGTCTAGATGGAGCCATCCAGAACCAAGAGGTGATGATGCCTCTCAGCACTCTCCCTCACCAGAACCGACATGATCTACCACTGCCACTGCTACTAACTGCCTTACTTCGGAATTCCCTATGCCCGCCCCCCTTCACAATCGCAAACAACCGTATACACAAACCTCCGTCAAGGCCCTCACGTACGGATCCTTACTATTCAACGACTCACCTCACCTCACCTCACTCAAAACCCCGCTCCTGGCCAGCGCGGGTTCACCCAGCTGCCCCGTGCTTCACGAAGGCCAAGTCGCGAACGATACCCGATTGGAGATGGGATTACTATTCCTGGGGTGGGGGATGGAAAGGGAGATTGGGAAAGGGGTCCTGACACGTCACGGGTGATGAACTCTGTTACCCGATTGTGGTTCGGCTGAGCGGTGCGTTCTGCGTTCTGCGTTCTGCGTTCTGGATACCCGATCCAGGGCTTCACATACGCACGCACGTACGCACACACGCGTGCACGCATGTCCCCGTTTTAGAGCGATGGCGAATACAAAAAAAGGTCCTGCAGAGACATGCAAGAGCAGCAGGAACATGCACTCGTGATGCGATGGGTAGATGGGCTCAAGATGCATGGTCATGAACATCGTTGGTATCATTAAGATTAGAGTGCTGACGCCGCCAGTCTCCTCCATCTATATGCTAGTGCCTCCCAGTAGTTTTTCTGCCTTCCTGCTGTAGTCTTTTTGTCCCTCCTGGTATCTCATGCGAATCTCTCTTTCTCTCTCGCTCTCTCTCTGTATGTTTTTTGCTCTCGTTTCTCGCAACACGGACATGGTCCATACCTTTCTCGGCCTTGTTAGTCGTAATCGGTATCCATGTTCGGCGTCGGAGGATCGGGCGTTGGTGTTGCTGAGCGGCCTTCGATGCTCATTTCTTCTCGATATGCCATTTGACCGTTGTCGGCTCTCTCTAGCACAAAACACCGCTCGGCGTAAACGCCGTTTTCATTTTGACGGCGCCAGGCAGCGCTGAAGCGACGGACCATGACCTTGCGCCATCCGCCTACATTAATGGTGATTTGCTTCCAGGGCACGTCGGGCGTCGCGAGCTGCTTCTCTCGTAGCAGAAACTGGAAAGTGCGTAAGGCCGCATCGTAGTCGCGGTCCATCCCCGGGTGAACAACCTCGAGCGCGTGGAGAACGGTCTGGACGTGTAGTGTGATAGTTTGAAGGCTGCGGAAGCTGCATAGAGCGCGGAGGAACTCGGTCGGGTCGCACATGGCCACGTCCATGTCCAGCTCCAGCGTGTGCACGTGTGGAAGACCTTGCGCCAAAATAGCGATATCCTCGCCCCAGAGCGTTGGGCACCGTCGGTCCTCCCCTCCAAAGCCCATGTGATCACGGAACTTGAGCACTTGGAGGGACTCGCCATGTCTCAAAATGCCATCCAGTGGAAACAGACGGGTGTGGCATGTCACATTGAGCGTCTGTAAAGCTCGAATGTGATTAGCCACTAGTAAGTATAAACCGCCCGTTGCTTCCTCTCGTTTATCAACTAGGTGGGCGCTGAAGTCTTCGCAGTGTAGATGTCGCAAGCCTGCCAAGTCGGGGAAATCCACAGTCGACAGGAAGTTGAAGACGGGCACGTACTTCAGGTCGAGGGATTCGAGCTGAGAAAAGTCCCAATGGGCACGGGTGTCCTCTTTCGAATGGTTCCAGTCGTAAGACTTGAGGGCCAAGTCTTTCAGCGGGGGGATGCGCTCTCCTTGGGCGAACTTGAAGTTCGTCCCCTGCCCACGGTCTTCGTAATGAAATGTCTCCAGGCGGCGGGAGAGCAGGAGCAGCTGTTTTAGGGAATTCAGTCGTGTCGTGAGCGGCGGGGCGGGGCTCGCAAGCTTGAGCGAGACAAGGAGGTCTGTGGGAATCGCTCGGACGTAGGTGTCTCGTAGTTGTCCCTCGAATTCTCGCAGAGGCAAGTCCTCGACGAACAGTTTCGTGCCGTTAAATCGTGTCTGCTGAGGGTTGAGCACGTCTGACGGAAGCCAGAGTCGTCCTGATCGGAATTCAGCATCGACATAGTGCCATCTGCGAGCATCGTCAGCAAATTACTTCCAAAAGCTGTGAAGACCACTATCAGCGTACCGCACAGTCTTTAGCCTTTGGACCCTGTCCAGCACCCGCCGAATGCCGTCAGGGTCTAGATCGCTCCGTGTGACGACGTGGTTGGTGTAGGACGACACATTGCGCAAGAGATTGGGATACCGCGATTCGGCGTCTGGGGCAACAATGCGCTCGTTGAGGCAAATCGTACGGTAGGTGACGGGAGTTGCGATAGCCTCAAAGCGCCTGGACAAGCACCGCGCAGCAGCAAGGGCGCGCTCGTCTATTTCTCGGAGCTGGAAAAATCTTGGTAAGCAATTGCGGGTTAGGAGGAATGGCGTGGCCATTGAAGTGTTGGCAACCGTTAAAAAAAAAAACCCCTACCTGCTCGAAAATGAGAGCCAGCAGCTCGGAGCTGAGGTCATTCAGAGACCATTTCTGTGGCGCTGCACGGAGGGAGGATGCGGTAGCCATTCGCCGACATGTGGCGCTTCCACATGTAGGAGCAGGAGAGAGTCAGGGGAGGGGAGAGGTGTCGAGGAAAGGTAGCAGGTGAAGAGACCTCGTGGCTGGCACAGAGGGGGGAAGTAAGGGTCTTATCAACGGTTCCATCAAATTCGAAGGTGTTGTGCTGTTGAAGAGAGCTAGGATGGTCCGAAGTCATGATCCGCCAGTTGACAGACGGGGCTAATCTGTTTGCGGACAATGTCACGAGCGGGTACAGTTAGATGACCCAAGTAAGCCAGCAGCAGCTAGCTAGCCGTGTGGCGACTGCGGGACGGAAGCGACTAAAGGAACGCCGACAACTAGGAGCAGATGGCGTAGTGAAGATGAGGAGGTACCGGTGGAGGAGAGTGGTCGGATAGAGGGCCGGGATGGGTTGGATGGGGATATGATGGGGTCAACGGGGGCCCATCTACATTAACTCGCAGAAGCCGTCTGCAAGAAGAAGACAAGGTGAGGTGCAGAAGGATACTTGCTGGGTACGTATGTACGCATGTGTATATGTATGTGTATGGGTATCCGTATGTGCGTGTATGGGGCTGATGTGTCGAGGTGTACGTACGGTACAATGCAAAGTACCTTGGATCGAAATAGTATGGGGGAAGGAAACCCACGAGAATGGAGTCGCAATATTGGCCCGACCCGGACCGGCCAACTCAGATATGATGATGATGATGACAGCAGGGCAAGGCAAGGCAAGGGTTAGGTGAGACAAGACTAGTAGCCCCCGGACTAAAAAAAACAGATTAGGAATGGACAGAAAAGAACAAAAATAAGAACAAACTGCGCCCAGGCGATATGATTAAACAGAATAAGGCCAAGGGAACGGGAAGATGAGCAGATGAGGGATGGGGAACTTGGAAGGACAGACCATCCGCAGAGAGGAAGGGTGGAGGGAAGAGACTTTTCAAGGCTAACATTCGGCGCGCCAAAACTGGACGGGTCAGGTTTGGAAAGGAAAGCTGAGACAGGCCAGCCATTGTATCAACTACCATCCGTAACAGCTCCAGCTGACTGAGGAAAGCAGAGAGACAAGCTGGAAAGAGAAGACTCGTGCGAGTACCTGGCACACACCTCACACCTCACACCCACACTCACAGAGCTACCTCTTGGAGACACTTGCGTGTGTCAAGCCGCGAAGGCGAGGGCAAGGTACTTGCTGCGATTACTAGCAGGAGAACAGCGAGGAGAGAGAGCAGGTAAGGATTGGATAGTCAGTCAGTCAGTCCTGAGGCACCGGGCAGAAAGAAGACTGAGTGGATAATACACAGTAGAACATGTTTCAATTCAGTTGATCCGCAAAGAGACGAGGGCCCCTTGTACCTTGGGTACACCGTAGGAGGGCAGGGGAGAGATATGAACGACATGACAACGGAGAAAGGGGCAGGTAACTTGTAAGGAAGGACTCGGAGGTGGCCGTGAAGGTCAGAGAAGGAGGAGACCGAGATGGATCATGGGACCGGGGTGAGGAGGGGGCTCGAATGGTGAAATGGAGCTAGCAGAAACTCGAGAAGGTACAAGTTGCATGTCTTGTCTGAGAAAAAAGCTGTCACGGCGTTCGTTTGGTTTGTGAGAGAAGAGTTGAAGACAGGACAGGTGTAAGGAGCGAGGCACGAGGTGAGGTGAGAAGTGTGAGGAAAGGGACTTGGATGGGATGAGGAGAAAGAGGAGGTCAAGGGACGTTTCGCAAGAATGTCCCAAAAGGGAAACGCAGCTTCAAGTAACATGGGAGGATCCCAGCAGGGTCTAGAAGAGGGGCCCCTGGTCAATGCGGGGGTTGAAGTAAACCGAAGATCGCTGCCGTCTAGATGCATGTGTTCCCTACCACAGTATGTATGTGTGCATGTATGATGTAAGTGCATATGCTGCGAGAAACGTGCCTTCTTCCACTTCACCCTGACCTCCTTCCTCACTTCGAATTCTGCAGTTATCCCATACCTAGGTACCTTACGGAGTACATCACGCCCTTTTTCACCCGCCGTCGTGGCAGCAGATAAGGAAACACACAACACTCGACATACAAGTAATTGTGAACAAATGTATACCTTACCTTACCGAGAACCGTACGAGATAATATCCGTCCACAGCACCACCGGCGGGACCACACACGGGTCTTCCCACTCCACTTCGCTGCTCTAACCCGAAAGGCACTGCTTCCCTGTCGTTGGGACTGTCGTCTCCTCCCGCCTCTCGTCAAGACAAGAAATCTTCCGCTTTTTCCCTCCGGATGGAACCACGATCCCAGATGCAGGAAAGTACCGCTCCCCCACCACTTAGGTTCCCAGCATAATGGAACCCGGTTTGCCGTTTGATGGACGTGGATCAAGCCAGACAGTACGGATACACTATGGAATATAGTGTACTACAGGCAGTGAGGCACACAGTCACATACCTTGAGCCTGATTGACTCTCCCCGTCGTGCGGAAAATGAATCCCAACTTTTTTTTCCCCTTCAGACAATGTTACGCTGCTGTGCCTAACCATCCCATCGTCATTTCCCACGGTCCCGGTGGATTGGCAAGCGATGGAACTTACCGTTCGGAGCACATGGATGATGAAGAAACACATCATGGCTAGCTGCACTGAACCTTCTCCAACTAGTTGAACAACATCCTCTTTTCCTTCACCCCCAACCACCTAGCTGTAACGGCTTCGGATGACGCGAAATGAGATCAGCTTAACAGTTGCCGAGAGACGCTGCTGCGTTGCAGTTCCAGAGACGACGCCCGGCTACTTTCACCACCTGTCCCTGTCTTATTTTTAGGCAGGCCAGGAGACTTCCAACCGCGCATGCGACTCTCCTCCGGGGCATGAGAAAAGTTCAAATTATGTCGAGATAAGCGGCCGTTGTCGGCGGTTCGCAGCCTGTCGCCGTTTTATTCGGATCCCACCGGCAAGGTCAGACTCGTTCTCGGCTCTCTGTACGAAAACCTCACGAATAGGCCTGTATCGGCGGCTTTCTGGGCATGAAAATCGATGGCATGTCATGCTAGCGAGCAGAGCTTGTTACTTACTCGAGTCAACCTCATCCACACACTTGCTGCACCTGTCAACCAGCTCATAGTCCAATCGCGAACCGCACCGGAACGGACGTGCAGCTGGGCGCGGGAGACAGACTTGGCGGCGAAGCAAACAATGCAGGGGCTCACCACAAGCTTCAATCTCAGGATCCAATCGGTTGCGAAAGACGACGATAAACAAAGCTGACTTTTAGGCTCAGAATGCCCATGTCAAGCCAACGGTCTCAACCCTCTTCAGACCTTCACAGTAACGACTGAAGGTGACCCTTTGAATTGTGACGCTCAGATTCCCGCCGTCAAGCTAGGAGCCCCTGTTCGACAACCTCCGTGCACCCTGCGACTCTCGGCCCGCAAAGTCGTTTGGGATTGGGATGAGACTGGCTTGGAATGGATTGGAGACTGGTTGGAGAACTGGCTGGAGAGTTGGGAACTCGGGAACTTGGACTGAACGTCTCCTAGTGCTCCACACAACTCTGACGAACCAACCGGGAGACCCATAAACCAGAGGGGACTCTGTAATCGGCAATATTCCAATATCCGGGCTGCTGGCCAGCAAATGGATGCGATTTGCTCGTCTGGTTTTCCATCAACTCCCTGTCTGCGTCCGTCGTCGAACAGGGACCCCCGGATCTGCTGCGCTGCACTGAATCCGGCACGCTCAGATTCTGTGCTTGAAATTTTCTTTTTCTTGTTCGATTTGGTTCCGGTTTGTTTCTCGCCTACCTGAGGGTCACCGCTTCGATTCTGCACCGTTGCTGCGCATTCGATGCGTCGATGCGGCGCGACTCCCTAGACAAAATACACAACAAGAATGTCACCGGCAACCGGTACGGATACTACGTTATCCACGTCAGCTTCGAACACGGTCCGTTACGCACGTACACCATGATGCAAATTGAGGGGCGTACAAGACGGGACGTTATGTGTGCATGCGCCGTTCGAACAGCAAACCATCGATATCCACGTCACAAGAGGGCAGGTGTCAGAATATGCCGCGTCAAGTCTCTTACTGCGATATGCTACGAGGGCATAGATAGTGGCGCCTGGCTGCACTGCAGGGCATCGCTACGTGCCGCACTATTCATGTGCGGATAAATGTACATACATATATGCATGCATATGTTGACGAGCGAACCGCATTGGGCTCGAGTCGCGACGTCGGTACCAAGGAAACGTTGACCGGCCGCATTCGCCATGCATGGCGGCAGCGGCTCCCATGTCGTTTAGGTGAATTAGTGCCGCCACCAGCCCAACCACACACCAACCCAGACCTGCCAAAAGGTGAGTAATTGCTTCCTGCATAGCACTAGTCCAATTCCATGGGAATCTTGGGAAGGAATACATGATCAGTCACTTACGCTTGCCATCTAGCCAACGAGCCGGTGAATCAATCACGCTCGAAACTGGAAACTGTTCGTCGCCTGCGCCTGTCATTGCACTCGACAGTGAGACCATCGAGTGCCTGCGACTGCGCTACCTGCACTGATCAGCAATGCCGTTCCGGCCCGCGGCTGGTCATATCGTACTGTCTCGTACCATTGGTTTTCCATCCATCATCCTTCACGACCCGCCTCCAATAAGGAACCACAGACAGCCCGACCTTCGATGTCCGTCGGTACCGGATGACATTGACAGTTCACATATCCACGTCCATCATTCCAACATTCCAAAATTCAAACCCTCTTCTCTCGGCGGCAAACCATGGCTGGTGGCCTTAATTCCCGAACATAGTTGCGAACTCTAATTCCGGCCCGCCTACAACGATATGAAGTGGGCTTGTCAATGTCACCCACTCTCGGGCTCCCCAGTCCGAGAGACTCGCTGCGATTCAACGTGTCGTTCTTCCAGAACGAACAAGACGCCATCCCTGGTCGATGCACATAGGCTAAAGCCCCGTGAACGGTGGGCGACTACACTAGCTCAAGCTGGAGGAGCGGTCGATCTCTGTTCCATCAGCCGCATCGTCTGATCTCCGCCCAAAAATTCCAGAGATGCGAGTGGTCCGTCGAACCCTTGTACAGTCCCCTGCACAGCCCGCACTAGGTTTTTCCCACGTTGCATCCTGGCCTACCAGCCCTTGACGACTTTCTTCACCAATCCTCTCATTCACCAACCGCCTCTATGGAGACTTTGCTAGGTCTTTCCTCCTTGCTTTCACCACGTCTTTTGAATAAGCTAATACAGACGCGTCTAATTATCAATGATTAGTTTCCTCAGGCAAACATCTATCCATCGAAACATCGAACCCGCTTTCCCGCAGACGCGCATACCAGGCATGGCCATGATTGTCATGGTGGACTTGATTCAGGACGACCACCCGCGGCGTCGTGATCGAGCATGTTGGCCGCTCTTTCTGAGTCCTGCGTCTGGCTCCTGGCAGCCGCTGGTCCAAGCGGGGTGGAAAGGCGTTGAACTCCATCAGGCCAGCTCGTCGTCTGCTATGCCTCCCGGTGAACGTCGTCGCTGCTTCTCTTTGATAGGGCGTCGTTGAAACAAGGCTGGCGCGGGAGGGTTCCGAACACTTCCCCTCAGACGGTAGCACTACCAATGTTCAGACCAGGTCGACCTGGGATGGCCTAACGCTCTAAGGGAACGCGGTCGCCTTGAGGCGATGAAGCTATGGGACGTTAGGTAAGGAAAGGGGCCTGCACTGACCTTACAAGAGCTTCATATGCCGAGACGGGTCATGTTTGCAGCACGCCCCGTCGTCTCCAGGCGTTTCCCGCCTAGCCTTGCCCTAAAACGCCGCCATTGGTTCTCAGGAAGGGAGCCGATTGCCGATACTTGGTCAGATCAGACAGTGCTTGCGGCTTGCAGGTGAGGGGGACGTGGCTTCAAGCGCTTCAAGCGTTGCGATTGGATTGGGAGGCACTCTTCCCAGCATTTGGGCCTGTCTGCAGTTCTGCTAGTGCGTTGCGGCTCGAGGAAAACGCCTTTCTGGGCGCACGCTAGCCAACGAGCACATTTGCAGGTGGCCTTGGTGTTGGGTATGTGAGGGCACGAACGGCCGTAATCCCCATATTCGCCTTCCACTTCATGCTTCGTTCTGAGAACAGGCCGCGTCGCCCAATTATGGATGTGCCAGGCATACCTCATGCAGCAGACCGGCCTCGAGCAGCTCAAGCCTGAGCCAGCAAAGCAAGACGCTCAGCTCAGCCTGATGCTGTGGCACATTCAGTGCTTTCGAGTCACTTGGTTCTTTCTATTTTCAAATTGCGAGACTGTCATCTGATACGCCCCCTTCCTCGACTGACCGGGCGCCGCAGAAAGAGGGGATTTTGACAGTTCGCTCGTCAACGTTGCAGTCTGATAGACCATTCCATCCAAAGGTTGTGTCTTTGGAAGATTGACGAGAAAGTTATTCTGTCGTGTTCCATGCCCGAGACAAGGGTACCACTCGCTCGTCGGTTGTTGCCGTCCAACCCGGGGCCAGCAAAAAGCTCCCAAGAAGCAAAGCAGAGTCTTTGTGTGGTTTCTTCCCTGCCCCTCCCCTCCCCTACTTGTCAGGGAGACAAGCAGAATCCCAAATGTTACGCTGGCTTGCCCATTTCGTCCGAGTGGTTGGCTGCGGCAGTGGCTGTCAAGAGAGATGCAAGATCT